CCCTATTCTTTTCTTTTTCCATTCTGTCTTGACAATTCTTGGTATTTTACTCCTTCATATAAATTTCAGAGTTGACTTTCAACAGAAAAACACTATGTTCAGATTTGACTGGAAATATAATTTGGAGAAAAGTGATATCTTTGTGAGGGCAACTTTTCCAATTCATCAAGGTGGTCCGTCTCTCCATTTAGTTAGGTCTTCTCTCAAGTATTTAAATATGATGTTATTATTTTCTTTATAGCAGTAGTGCATATCTTGCCTAGATATATCCCTAAGTGGTTTATATTTTTATATTGTGTCAATTGTCATTAAAATATATTTTGGATTGTTGTTGATACACGCTTGCATTTTGAACAAGAATCATATTGGCTGTCATGTGAAGATTGCAGGAGACCAAAGGAAGAAGTAAGACTACCAGTTCAGAGACTTTTGCAATAACCCAGGCTAGAGGTGGTGGTGGCTTGCCCCAGAGTGATAATAGCAGAGATAATGAGAGGTGGTCAGAGTGGTCAGACTCTAAATAATTTTTTGAGGCTAGGATTTGATGACATTTTAGGTATAGAGCATGGGAGAAGGAGAGAAGCTACAGATGACTCCAGAGCAACAGGAAGAGTGAGATTGTGATCTACTGAGCTGGCTCGAGGGCAGTAGAAGCAGATTTGGAAGGTGATGGTGATTCAGAAATATGAGTTTGGTCATATAAAGGTGGAGCTGCCTGTTAGACAACAGGTGGGGAAATGAAGACTTGGCACTCTCCACCCCCACCCCAGTGACCTTCATGATAGACAAGCAAGGCAGCTTGGCCAACTGAGATAAAGAAGGAAGATATCTTATGCAGGAGGGTAAGGGGGAAAATTAGTTTCTCAAAGTTCCTAGAGCCACACCTTAGAGCTGCTATCCATTTTATTTACAGTTAGGGCCTTGCATTTGCAGTCTCCCTTCAAGTGCTATAAACCATCAAAATGCAGATAGATGATGTCTCCTAAACCCTTGGCTGACAGTCCCCTTTCAGGCATCTGCACTCCTTAAAAGCTTAAATATCAAAGTCTAGCCTTTGTTATCCAATACAGAAGCCACTAGCCATACTTGAGACGCACTGTGAGTATGAAATACACAACAGATTTCAAAGATATTACAAACTAACAACAAAGAATTATAAAACATCTCAGTACTTAAAAATAATGATTACATGGTGAAAATATTTTGGATATATTGGGTTAAATGAAACTTACTTTAAACATTAATTTAACATATTTATTTTTATTTTTAAGAATGTGTCTACCAGGAAATTTGAAAGTACACATGTGGCTGTAATTGTGCCTGGCTTTCTATTTCTAATATTTCTATTGGACAGCAGCCTTTAGAGGAATGACATTTCTTGTTCTGTGGCCAGAGGCTTTCATGGGAACATGGTTTAAGATGGATGAGAAGCTGGAGAAGTCAAAAGCCACTTGAAGAAAATAATTCCAAGGAGAAAGAAAGTATACAAGCTAAGAATAATGGATTCATTACCTAAATAAACCACTCACTTATACTTGCAAACTCACTTAATCCTCAAGATGAGATAAGTTTCATTATTCCCATTTTACAGATAAGAAAATGGAGACTCAGAGATGTAAGGTCCTTTGCCCTCAGAGAGTGAGTAGCTAAGTTGGGATTTGATCCTGGTTCCACCTGATTTTAAAGCCTGTGCACTCGCATTAGACCACATTACCACTAAAGGACTGAAGAAGAGGAATTGGGAATGTTTGGCAGGAGTATGACAGTGTTTCTTTCCTTTTGGCCGAATGATTAAATTCTTCTTTTGACAATTCATAGGAAACAAAATCGCTGCAACAGGGATCCTTCCCCTCAGCATTGCCCATGCCAGCAGTGGAGATAATCTGAGCATCCAGTTATTAGGGAGTGAGAGTCAACTATTAGGGGGTGATCCATTAAGAGGATGCTCCATTGTCATTAAGTCTGACACTTTAGGGAAAAGGGCAATAGAGAACATGTTTATGATATGATGGATGATTAATGCAGTTAAGTCATTTTCATATCAATTACAAGCAAAATATACTTGTGTTATGGTATCTTTGAGATGTTGCTTTTTCTGGCCAGAAACCTCTGTGGCCAGTGGTGCCTTTGCCCGAGTTCTGGTCCTGCATCCAGGAAGAATGAGGGATGCCGACGAGTGGAGGGTGAGTGAGGTGAAGAGGAGCTTTACTAAGTGTTAGAAGAGCTCAGTGGGTAGCTTCTCTCTGTAGGCAGATTGTCCCTAAGTGTTAGAACAGCTTGGAGGAGACCCGCAGTGGGTAGCTTCTCTCTATAGGTAGGTTGTCCTGATGAGTGCTCTGCTCTCAGCAGAGAGGGTAGCTCCTCTCTGCAGCTGGTTGTCCCCATGTCTGCAGCACTCAGTAGAGAGGAGGCCCTGGAGAAGGTAGCTGCTCTCTGCAGCTGGCCCTCCTGTCATCTTCCCAGCTCTCAGCAGAGAGGGGCACTCCTCCCTGAAGCTGGTCATCCAGCTGTCTTTCCATCCTCTGCCCTGATCTGGCTGAGTCCAGGGTTTTCATGGACCTCAGAGGGGAGGAAGTGTGAGCCTATTAGGCCATGGGTGGCCATGGATTGTTTGAAAAAGGCACCACAAGTCCCCAGTCTGGTCTGTAGGCCTGGTAGCCAAGCCCCCAGCCTTCAGGCCTTCCCTGGCCTGAAGGTGGGACCTTACCGGGGACCAGTCCTCTTCCACCCAGGAGCCTGTCTACCTCCTGCTGCCTTCCATGGCACCCCAGCTGTTCATGCCAAGGGGCACTGAAGCCAGTGCAAGTGGCCTTCAGCCCCTTCCCCCCCTCACAGCCTGAGGCAAGGGCTCCTGATCCTCACTGGGCCTAGGCCAGAATATGGGACAGGGGCAGCATCACCAGAGCTCCCCCTGTTGCCAAGGTGCTCAGGGGCCACTGGGGCATAGCTGGACTGAGGCCCCAGGCTGGACGTAGGAAGTGACAGGCTTGGTGGTCACCCTGACTTAGGGTGGCAGACCCTGAAACACTGCCCTGGGGCTCATGCACAGCCTCCTCCCAAGGCCCTGGAAACTGGCACCCTTGGCAGGGTGGGTGCCATGGCTGTGCTGCTGGCTGGGTCCCTGAATTGGGCACCACTCCTACTTCCCACTCTGGCCCTGAAGCCTAGCACCAGCTCCACATTCACAGCCCCTCTGCCTAATCATGCTGCTCCCCCACCCAGTCTGGCTTCATCATGGCAGTGCCTAGGGTAGCGGGCTGCTGGAGTTCAGGGGCTGGCTGCCTCCTCCCTTTGCCGTCCCTGCAGTGGCCAGCATGATGGCAGTGGCTACCTGCTGCTGCCATCACTTGGATGTGAAAATTGGTAGGCAAAAAAAGAGAAATATTTGTGGATTTTTGTGTTTTCCACGTAATAATACGAAAATTTCTCAGTAGCACTCAACATCAGCTTTTAAAAGGATATGCACAAACTAGAAAGAGAGATATAGTCAAAGATAAAGGTACATAAATATAAAGAAATTGTGTAGAGGCTGGCCAAAACATGTGGGCAATTAGCAATGTTGAAACACACTGCCAGGAACTCACCGAGCAACAGTGAACAGAATCCAGGAAGATTGGCCTTTCGTGCAGAAGGCAGCAGGGTGGCAGATGCTGTAACAGTGTCAGTGTTGAGCACCTCTGCAGCTATTTGTTCCCAGTGTCTCTGCACTGAGAATGCACATTCTTTAGGAGAGGGAGGAGGGTGGCAATTAAGAGAGCGACGAAGCCCAGGATGTGTGCTGTGAGGCTCAGGGCACAGGTTCCTAAGCCCACCCAGGCACCCAAACCTGTGGTCCGGTGCACCTGCAGCAGCTCCACGTGGCCTCAGCCTTCGATGAGTGTGGAGGGCAAAAGAGCCAGGAGGATCAGGGAGGCAAATGTCCAGATGTTCGAAGGAGGAAAAACCCAGGGCACTGCCCTGCTGTCAGAACACAGGTTCTTGTATTTCCTTTTAGCCTCACACACCTATGGGCCTGTGGGCAGGGACACCTTTACCTTATCGGAGTGATGGTGTCGGGAGGGAGGGGCAGTGTCCCCAGGTAAGTCTGCGCCTCTGCCAGTGGGTGGGACCCTCACAATTGGCTCCCTGGAAGATTACCTTTGTTCCACGAAACCCTTCCTTCCTCACACAATTTCAAGTGTCTAAATCATTTCATTTTTGAAGTGCGTATTTAATGTGGTGATTTCCTCTCCCAAAGTGCCTTAATTAAATCACTGTGGCATTTTATAATCAATAGAGACTTAGAATTGAGGAAATACAAGAGTGAGAAGGAGAGCATATTCATGAATAATGATGACTAAAGGAGGGATGGGATGGGAGCTGCAGTTGTTATAGGCAGATGCCACCGGGGAAAATGACTGATTTGGGAATTACACAGGCAGACCTTTGTGCGGCCTGCCTGGCTGTGCCAGCCGAGGACTTTCACTGCCAAGCTTCCCTTTTCTCTTGTACATGTAGCTCACTGTCCCACCGTAATTACTGAGATCGTATCTTGATGCAGCCTTGAAAACTGAAAGGGGCTGTCACCTGCTGGTGGTGGCTGCCTTCTAATGGCAGGATGGCCTGGTAGTGGGAGTAGTTTGGAATTGGAGAGGGTCAAGGTTGCTTCTTGTGTTGCGGAGGCAGCCGAGAGCTGCATCTGGAAGGTGGAAGATTTGGACCCTGGCACTGAGGGAGGAGCTTTCCAGGCAGAGGAGGTGGCCTGAGTGAAGGCAGAGGGTTTAGGGTGTGAGTCGTCAGTGGATTAGGCCTAAACCCACTGGGGTACAGGGAGGAATTAGACAAGGAAGGGGTTGGGTCCCATCATCTGGGCCACAAGCTTGGGAAGGTTCCCAGAGAACATGGGAACCGCAGAGGATGTTTGCTCAGGGAGGGACATGCTGGAGCTGTGCCGTAAAGTGTGACAGTTTGGGGTGGGTGGGGGGTGGAGGGGAGCCTGGAGGGATAGCCTTGCCATGGTACGGCCAGAGGACAGATGAGGAACCAGAGAGGTTGTGTGTCAGGCCCACCTTGGGCTACCAGTTTCATAGAGGGCAGGCCTGGAGGACCTGTGTTACCCACACAGGTGGCATTCTCAGGTCCCCTGACCACTTTTTGTTCTATTCAGATGCCATCTTCCCACCTCCTCAGCATGTAGAATAATTAAAAAAATTATTCCTGGCACATTCAGAGTCTTCGAGCTTGTGGGAGACTCATTCTGGTTAAACAAATATTCAGCTCTCAGAGGAGAAATTTGAAGCTTGTGAACCTGGGTGAATTTGAATAGCAGACCGTCACTAGATAGATCCTTAAGGAATGTCTATTCTAAATGCTTCATGTTACAGGTGGGGAAACTGAGTCACAGAAAAGCAAAGAGACTCAGCCTGGAGGCTGAAGTCCCTACTTCCAGTGACTAGCAGTGTATTTCCTTGCTCTTTACTTAGGTGAAAAGCATCAGGAGCCAAGTTGCATCTGAAAGTGTCTCTTTTTCTCTTTAACCTAAAAGCAGAGTTTTCTGGGTCCAGGTTGGCCTGGCACAGGAGAGGACAGGGAAACAAGAAAACGAGTCACTGTGTATATGACGTGGGTGGTTTGCGCCCTCACTTTTTTGTGCTCTGATGATCCCTAAGAACTAAGAGATGCTTAATTCCTGAGGAGCCAGGCATGCATACTTCCAGGTATGCTTCAAAGCCTCACTTGTGATTTTTGTGTGTTTATTCTGATCAAATTACATTTGAAATGAAATAAGTGAAACGAAATGACTGTGTGAGAAAACATAGCCATCTGGAAATATGTCAAAATCTTTCTTACCTTAGCACATGACCTTAGAGGTATAAAAGGATCCTGCAAAGTTCCCCTGCGATTTTCCTTCTCTGGGAGTTTGGAGGGTGAGGAATCAGACGGGGGCTACTCAGTCTGGAGACGGTCCTGATGGAGTCCCTGCCCACGCCTTCTGCCCTGTTCCTGCTCACATCCCCCACAGTTGCACAAAGCCAGGTCTAGCTGAGCCAGCCTCTCCTGTGGTTTTGCTTCTCCTTCCTCTTCTCTCTAACCTGCTCGGTGGGTAGCTTATTTCTACTTCCCTCAGACTCCCTCTCCAAAGCCCCTGCTTCTGTGACACTTATTCTACCACCCACTGGCCACCTCCACCCCCATTTCTCCTCCAGTAACCAGCTCATCCCTCTGCTCCCTCAGGGCTGGAGTCTAGCTCCCAGGGCTATTTCAAGAGTTGTACTAGAGCATCCTTTCCTACCTTCTTTCCCGGGAGGCTGTGAGCTCCTGGTAGCAGAATCACGAGTGATGGGTGCTGTCACTCTCTGCTGAGAGCCCCACAGTGACTTCCAGGACTGGTCAGCGAGGCAAGCACCGTGTCCATGTCCATCAGCCTGGCACTCACTCAACCCTTGAGCCCTTGTCCCTGCTTCTTCTTGGACACCTGTGCCATTTGCCAGACACTCACACTGCCCAGGGTGCCTGTCCACTGATTTACAGGGTCCATCCTTACTCTTCAGCATCCACCACTGGCACAGTGTGCTCTACGAAGCCCTCCCAGACTTCCCCATGCTCCCCAGGCTGGGCCACAAGCCTACTCTTGCCCCACAGCCACCACTGCCCTGCCCAGTGTCTGCCCCACTGCATCTGCTTCCTTGCTGGCCCACTGCTCCCCCTGAGCTTTGAAGTCCAGGGTGTGGACAGAGGGTGACCTGCTCCTTGTATATTTAATAATCCAGAGACCCACTACACAGAGCACACCATGTAGAGCAGTAGCCCTGGTGGCTTTGCCTGCAGGACAAGTGACTGACACTGAATGTGCTGGTGTCTGTGGAGGGAGTGCTGGCCAAGGGCGTCCATGTTGTCCGAGGCTAATGAACCCTTAGCCTTGAGGCTCCCAGATGTCTGCTTTTCCCCGGGGCAACAATGTGACCACAGAATCTTGTTCTGGACCTCCCAGCTTGTTGTGTGAGCTGCGGGCAGACAGCAGGCCTGGCTTAGACCTTCTATGGCAGGGGTCAGCAACAACTCTGAGCCAGGGACTGCCTGCAACACTGCAGCGTTCAGCTAGTACCTGAGGTGCCCCATGGCATAGTTCACCACCATTGACCGCTGCCTGAAGCAAGCCTTGAGTGCTGGAAGAGGGGACCTGGGTTTCACCTTCATTCTGATGCTTATCGACAGATAAATTACTTGTTTTCTGAGTCTTGCTTTGCCCATCTGTACAGTGGGAATAGTAATGCCTACCTTATACGTTTTCTAAGAGTGGAGAACGTTGACGTCTCTGTTAGTAGATGGTCACTCTTCTATGGCCATTCTTACATAAGGCAACATTTTCTTACAACATTCAGTGGAGACCAAGCCCCACTTGGCTTCCAGGTAGGAGAGGCTCACCACCTTTCCACAGATGCTGGGGCTTCTTGTAACCTGTGCTGTCTCCAGCTCAGGTCTTTGTCCCTATCATGATAGCTCAACCATAGCCAAACTGCAGGGATCCGGCCAGGGGAACTGCTCCCTGGCCATTTCCGGCAATGTGGAAGTAGGTACACATACCGAGATACAGAACCAGCTCCTTCTGCAGGACGCTGTGAGTTCCTGTATTCCGTTGCTGTTGCAAAAACCATAGAGGTGTGTGCTGGCCGGAGCCCAGTATGGACTGGAATCAGAAACAGGAAGTTTTGAGGGCCATGGAAGGTTTGCTGACCTGCCTAGTTCCTGCTGATGGGAGGCTCCATCTTAGTCTTCAGGGGATCCCCAGAACTTCTGGAAAACACCTGTGTTGCCTCCATCTCCTTGTGAGGCCTTTGAGCCAGGTGGAGGGCTCTGGGTCCTGCCATTCTCTGCCTATAGACACACTCAGCCCTTGGCCCAAGTGGGAAATGGGGACACTCGCTAACTGGTGGTGGCTGGGGCAGCACCAAGGTGATTAATCGTCCATGAGTCCAGCAGTTGGGCCTTCTCCTGGCACTCTCTTAAGGAGGCGCTGGCCGCGCAGGACCTGCAGGGCACCTCCCAAGTGGCCCACTCCTTGCTCTCTCACCTGCTGTCTGCAAGGCCACCCCTGACTTCGCATGGCCCTGATGTGTCCTCCCCCAGTGCAGGCTCAGCCTTAGGGGCAGCCCTCCTGCTCTTGTCTCCACATTACGTCCTCACGGTGGCCAAATACTCACCTGCAGCTCTGTTTTGCTGCCCTTAAGGCCCTGTTATGAAATCCAACAAACCAGCTTGTGAGGAAACCCAAGATTGCATAGACTCAGCAGCCGGCCCAGAGGGAGGTGACGCAGGCGAAAAAGAAGGGTCTAGGCTGGGACTGGGGCAGCTGAACCCCAAAGACGGGTGGGGGCCCCAAAGCATGCTTACAAAGTCATGTGGGCTCAGTCTCCCTGGGTGAGTGCAGATTTTAAGAGCTTCAAGGCAGCAAGGTGCAGAATGCAGGAGAGGCCATGCAGTGGGCACTCTGGGCCTCTAGTGTGCACTGTTCACCCTCTCACGTATGTTGGCTTGCTTGATTCTTTCTGCAATGTTGCAGGGATGATATTGTCCATGTTTTACAGCTAGAGATATTGAGGTTGAGGGAGCCTGAATTGCTAAGGTTACAGGTTAGGAAGAGGTGGAACTGGGATTTGAATTTGATCCATGTGATGCTGCTCTGGGTTGGTCTGGCCTTGAAGCTCAGGAGGGGCCAAGCCTGCCAGAGGGACTAGCTTCCAGGTGGTGGTGTTACTTACCAGCAAGTTAAGGCCAGAGGTTGCCATGCAGCCCAGGCTAATAGGCCCACTCCTAGGTGCATGGAGCCACTTGTGGGTGGGCCTGGAACACTCAGGTCTCACCCAGCTCACAGGTAACCTAGAAGCCAATGTCTGGTCTCTGAACAGCAGGGCCTGCCATGAAGCAGTAGAGACTAGGGGGGCTCCCAGCTCCCTTCCTGACCTGCTTTGTGGTATTCTATGAGCCACCCACGTCTCTAGGCATCACAGAATTTTTGGGGTCTCAGCTTCCTGGACCCTGGCCTCACCTGGGGATACACTGTAACTACCTTAGACCTTGTACCCAACACATGGTGCCCACCCAGAAGTAAGCCACCATGTTGGGGAGCATGGCCTCCCAGGTGGTCTGGTAAGTGGCTTGAGGGGACGATGACTGCTCTGTTCCAAGCTCACCAGGCAATTTTTCATGTCTTCGGGTCCCACGGCCCCCGGCGACCTGCCTTGGCCTGTTTGCTGCATGTCTGCTTCCAGCTTGCTTCCTGCCTGGCCTTCTCCAAGCAGCCCTTCCATCCCCACTGGTGTTCCTGTCCTCCATGGCTCTGCTCACATGTGTTCTCCTCCAGTCCTGTGTCCCAGCTCTGAGATGGCCTCTGGGGAGGGGATGCCTGCCCATTACAGAGCCCTCTGTGACCTGCATCTCTTTCAGGCCATCTCTTGGTATTTCTCAGCAGCACATTTTTCAGATGAGGACTGGCACTGTGCAGAGGCACTTCTCAGATTCCACAGCTCATGCCATGAGGAGCAGAAGCCAGAACACAGGACTTGATGCCAGAGTCCGATTTTGCCTGCCCATGATGTCTATATGCTAGCCTGGGAGATCACACCAATCTCCTGTACATTTGAAGCAATCTGATGTCACTCTCCTGCCCCCAAGGGTGCCAGGGCTTGAGGCTTGTGGTTGAGGCAGTGACAAGGCCCCTGTGACAGTCCTGTGCCAGCTCTCTAGCAGGTGGGCTTTGCCTGTGCTGATCAGACCAGGATTTCCATGAGATGCTTTTTCTGAGCAGCAGTGGCCTCTTGGAGGAGCAGCAAGGGGCAGAAGGACTTCACCTCACATGACACGGAAGACCTCTTTCTCTTGGGGGCCCTTTGTCAACCGTATCATGCTCAGTCTTTGCTCAATTTGTTTTCAGTAGGGGAGAGAGACTGGTGGTTTGGGGTTTATTCACAACCCCAAATATGGCTCCTGCTTTGCTTCATGCTTCTAAGAAGACAAAGTCTAATGCTATGCATGCCAAATCACACTGATTCAATAAATGCTGACAGGGAATGTGGACGGGTCTGGCGAGTGAAGGGCTTTATCTGGGACAGCCACACTGTATACGCCGAGGCTCTCCGGAGAAACAGAACAACAGGATGTGTGTAGGCAGGGAGATATTTATTTTAAGGTACTTGTTCACACAATTGTGTGGCTGGCAAGTTTGAAATCTGCAGAGCGGGCCGGAGACCCAGGGAAGAGCTGCTGTGAGTCGGAAGTAAGTCCAGAGGTCTCTAGTGAAACGCGCGGCAGACCCAGCAGGCCTGTGTGCCCCAGAGAGCGCATGCTGCAGGGCCCACGGCCCCGGCCATGCCATCTCCATTTCCTCCTCCACAGACAGCCACACTCACCTGGTTTTTGCCCCAGGGGCAGGTGAGGTCTGAGGGGTGAGGAGAGGGATGTGGGAGGTAGAGGAAGCAGAGCGCCTATAGATAGGGCTCTCAGGGTGACCATGGGGAAGAGAGTGGGGCCTGGCCACAGCCTCTCTGAGAGAACAGGCAGAGAAGGAGGTCACACACTCAGTGTTCAGAGCTTTCCATGTTGGGGCTTGCAGCACGGGGACTTTGGAGTAAACAGGGGCAGAGGCACAGGGACCTACTAACACCCAGTGTCCCTCCTGTCCCCTTCATACTCCACATGTGTACACACCAGAGCTCCTGCTTGCTGTCAGTTAATATAACACCGATGTGGGTGAGGACTTTCCCTACAGCAGAGGGTGAGGGAGGAGGGGCTAGACAGCCTCGGAGGGAGAGTGGTGGAGAGGCTGTGGAGGCAGACAGACCTGGCCCTCAGTGAGCCGCGGGCTCGCAGGAGTGCAACTGCCTGCCACACACGAGGACCCTGGTGAGGCAAAACTCCAGCTTCGCCGGAGCCACTGTAGCCTCTCACACTGCACTTTTTGTTTTCGTCCTCTTGGTCCGCTGTCTGGGCTGAGGGTGAGGGATGATCAGGGCTTGTGGTAATGCTAGGTAAAATCTAGATGATAGGATTCTTGGGCTTCTGAAGTCCCTCTCCCAGGCTTCGCCTCAGGTGGTGGTTCTCCAGGTGTGGTCCCTGAACCAGCTCCCTCTGTACCTCCTGGGAACTCTTTAGAGAGACAAATTCCTGGGCCCCACCCCAGACTTACTGAATTGGAAACTCTGGGGCTGGGGTCCAGAAATCTGGTTTTAACAATGTCTTCAGATGATGCTGATGCTTGCTCAAGTTTTAGAACTACTGCTTTCAGAGCAATTCCTCCAGGTTTTAGGCTGAAGATTCACCTCCTAGCACCACCCCAAGGCCGGCCACCAGCAGGTGAGGTAAGGGAGTCTCAGAGCACTGGGATCAGCTCACTTCGATCAGCTCCTTCCCCAGGGGTTCACAGGAAAGCCTGGAGGCTGTCATTCCATTGGTGAGGGTCCCCTCATCTACCCTTCCCTCCTTTGCTTTGTATGTTATATAGACTGTGCTTTGGGGCCCTTTATCACATCCTGCAGGAGCTCCAATGCTCTTGTCCAGCTTCTGCAAATTCTCAGAGTCTTATTTCCTCCAAGATATTTCTAGCTCCTATTTTCTCTGATCTTGTCACTGGGTCTCATCTGTGTCCCTTTTGCATACAATAGCGGTGTTCCCTGCCTGGAACTAACCCAGGTGTGGAACACAGAGCCTCTGTCATTGGCTTCCCATAATCCTTCCAACACAATGCCATTGTGTGGCAAATGTTTAATGAAGCCTTGTCCCGGAAGGGAATTCTCACTCTTGAGCATGCCCAGGGATGCTGTGCATGTGCCTCCAACTCATCTCCACCTGGGGGTGGGAGCATGTGGGGTCATAGGTCATGGCAGTTCCCATGCCATGGGGAGAGGTTAGGCATGCAAAGCCCTTGGCAGGGGCCCAGTATGGAGCCAGCACTCAATAGATGCCATTATTGTTATTATTTTATCGTGGTCGTTCAACTGAATGAATTATTTCCTCTTCCTTTATCTTTTATCTACTTGTTTATTTTATTTATAAATTTGTAATTGTGGTACATACCCACAATTTATAAATAACATAAAATTCACCATCGTAACCATTTTTAAGTGTATAATTCAGTGGCATTGAGTACATTCATGATGCACAACCAAGAGCACTATCCGGCCCCGTTACTTTTTCATCTTGCAAAACTGAAACTCTATGGCGATTAAACACTATCTCCCTGTGCACTCCTCTCCCCCGCCCCTGGGAACCACCATTCTCCTTTCTGGCTCTATGAATTTGACTGCTCTAGGGACCTCAGATCAACGGATCATACAGCGTTTGTCCTTTTGTGGCTGGCTAGTTCACTAAGTATAATGCTATCAGGTTCATTCATGCGTAGCATGTGCCAGAATTGTCTTCCTTTTAAAGGTTGAATAATATTCCACTTCATCAATTACACATGCACCTATCAACGGATGCTGGCTTGTCTCCACCCACTGGCCATTGGGAATAATGCTACTAGGAACATGGTGTATCTTCTTGTGTTCCTGCTTTCAATTCTTTTGGGCATACTTTTACTTTTTATAATTGACCTACTTTGTCTATTAGTTCAACCAATTTGACATAACAATCAATTATAAACATGATCTTTTTAATTGGATGCAAAAGTGGATGAGAACTTAGAGCGCAGTTTCCACACTTGGCCAACATGAAGTCCAAGGCCAGGGAGGAGCCCTGAGTGAACTCTTATCTGTGTGTGGCTTCTGTGGACAGGAGCCTTGACCTGTCCCTAGCTGGTGGCATTCTGAGGAAGGAGGAAGCATGGCTAAGGTAGAGTTTGTGGTTTGGAACCAGATGCACAGAACTTGGCTGGTGGCCCTGGGGGAAGCTGAGGAACCACTCTGAGGCTCTTTCTAGCACCCGTAAAATACTACTACTGTATTTGTCACCTCTTAGGGTATTGCTGTGGAGATAAAAAGAGATGATACAGAGATGAAAGTGCTGAGCCGTGATAGAGTGAGCTCTCGGGGAGGGAAGTCACTACTTTGATTAAATAGGGATTTCTAACCCCACTGTGCAGGATGAAAGCTGAGGCCAAGGGACTGAAATCCCCACCTCTGGCTTTTCCATTAGTTCTGGTTCAACCGCGGCACATGTATTTCCTTAAAGTCAAGTTTACCGAAATATAATTTACATAAAAGCATTTACTTTTTTAGTGTACACTTTGGACAAATGTAAACAGTCCTGTGACCACCACCAAGTAACTCTTCATCCTGAGAGCTTGCTTCATAGTGGCTCTGCATTTTTGTCTCCGTATCCTCTCTCTTTATCTTCCCAGCAACACCCCACAAGGCGGTAAATAGTAGCAGTATTTGATCGGTTTGAAAAGAACTTCAGAGTGGCTCCATATCTGTGAGGCTCTTCTTAGCACTGATCAAATACTGCCACTAAATAGCAAGTTGTGTGCATCTGACTCCAAAGCCTACACGCTTCTTCTTGGCAACTTTCAAGATACAGAACATTTCAATCCCCCCCTAAATTCCTCCTACAATTTGTAGTTACCCCTTATCCCTGGCAACCACTGATCTAGTTTCTGTCCTTAACAATTTTACCTTTTCCAAAATGTCATCTAAGTGGAATATGACAGTAGGTAGCCTTTTGGGGTTGGTTGCTGTCACCTTGCTGAAGGCTTTGAGATGCATCCAGGGTGCTGTGGGTGTCAGCCGTGTGTTCCTTTGTACTGCAGAGAGGGATTCCGATGTGCGGATGGACCTGAGCTTGTTTATTCATTTGTCTTGTGAGGGGCATTTATGTTTTCTCCAGGTTTTGGTAGTGATGAATAGAGCTTCTAGAAACATTCATGTGTATGCTTTTGTAGGAACATACCTTTTAATTTCTCTAGGGTAAGTAGCTAGCAGCGGAATTCCTGGGGGTATGTTTAATTCTCCCAGAGACTGCCAAACTTCCTTCCAAAGTGGCAGTGCTGCATTTGTGTTCCCACCAGCAAGGGTGAGAGTGGTGGTTGCCCTGTGCCCTTGCCATCATCCAGTTTTGTTTGTTTGGTGAAAACAAACTAATCAGTGTGTCCTGGCATCTTGTTTTAATCACCATTTTCCTAATGATAATGCTGTTGTTCATACTCAGTATTTCTGACAGTGCCGGCCGTGCAGGTAGATGTGAACAGTATTCATAGCACACCACCTCTGTCTCCCCCTTTTAATTTGGTTTTAGTTTGTAAGGTCTCCTTGTTGATGTGAAACATGGGGAAGAGGGAACCAAGGACTAGCCCCACCCTGAACATGTTTTAGAAACAAGAATGGCTTTGCTATTTATTTATTTATTTTGGAGCTCTCCGGATTGAGGCCAAGCCTCTGCTGAAAACAGGAGCAAGAGTGTTTGGATCTGCTGACATGTGGTGAGGCACTGGTGTTTGCATGGAAAGAAAAACAGAGATCATTTACGGCCATGCATGCCAAGTGCTGTTCTATCCTGTATCATCTGGTTTAGAGGCTTCCCCAGCTCCATGGCCCGAGGGCTGTGGCCCATTACAGAGATGGCAAACAGGCAGTTTCTGCACCTGGAGTTTATAATCTGGAAGTGAGAACAGTCACAGCGGCTAACAAGAAAGGGGGAAAGAATTTTAATCTTTAATTGTTTCAAAGCAACTCTTTGCTGCAGGCCCTAGCTTTTCTACAGAAGGCACTGAGTCCCAAGCTACCCCTTTGGGTCATTCCACATGCTGTCTTGCTCCGGGGCAGCTTTTCCTGGGAACAGTTTCTTGGCATCTTAGCTCCAAGGGCTGCTAGATCACGTCTCACATCCCGAGACTTCACCTCTCTGCAAGTCACTCAATAGAAAGTCAGGGATGAAAACAGTCAATCAAAATGTTTACTTAGCAGCCCAAATATCAGCAACCCAGCATTGCTTCATGCTCCAGATGTTACCCTTCACTGGGGCAGCTGTGCGCAGAATGCCCGGTGTGGGTTGTTACAATGCAGCGTGAGCTCTGATGACACCATGTATCCCTGAAGGGTGGGTGGGGTGTGGGGTGCAGGTGGACAGTGACACTCAGATACCTGGCAGCATGCATGGTCACTGACAGCACTGGTGCTGCTGAGGTCACAGGGAATCCTTCCCTCTTGGGTCCCTGCGGGCTCACCATCTGGTTCCCTGCACATGACACAGAGAAACGGGAGACCACATCATACATGCAACCCACAGACTCTGGGCCCATCTAGGGGCCCCTCCAGCCCTTCAGTGCCTCACTGTCCTGGACCT